GACCTAGCGTTAACTATTTTACGATTGCCGCTTACGTTTTGGTCGGCATCAACGAATTCAGCTTATGAAAATGCACAATAATAAATCTGCTTCCAACTCAGTAATGAGAAAGCTGCCTGTTTTTCTTAGCCGCTATATAAACGAGATAGCATTGTATAGAAAGGTAAAAACATCTTGCGATCATTTGTTTGTCTCGTTCATTATAATCAGTCTCCTCTTTTCGTTCGTCTCGTCGGACCTGTCATTTATTGCTTTGTATTTATATATGATAATTTTATCATCGTTAATTCTGTTTCGTGAGTAAATACAGTATTTCTCAAATATATTACTAAGTTACATACACATTTATTTCTAATTTAACTTATTCTATATTCTAAATTAGAACGAAAAATCTGTTTTATCTAGATAGAAAGAATAGTCCATGATCATCATCATCATCATCATCGTCAGATAGAATGCCTGGTTCAATAATTAATTGAGGAAATGGCTGATGACTGATCAGTAACTGATTAGTAATCTTATTACATTTTTGGCTGACACCTTGCTGGCAGCTTTCTGAGCAGCTGACACAGTGAACGCGTATTACATATGAGCTGAATTATTCGACATCTGATCATTTCAATAAATAATGCTTTCTTTGTGAGTTAAGCTATTAATTCAGCTCATATTTAATACTATATATATATATATATATATATAGATCTTGCATTGAAAGAGACGTAGTGTTGCATAGTACCGTTGGTTTTGAGATTGTTGATTGATGATACCTTGATACTACTCAAATGCGACCTCTGCAAATAACACGTTTTCTGCTAGGCCCTTATGTCCACAGGATTGTAGCTCTATTCTCTATGATTTTCTTTTTCTACGCGGCACTCGAGCTGGTAAAGGATCGAGTAGAAGTCCACTTCGGGCCAGTGAATAGCTACCGTGCCACAGACGAAACCAGCCATGGGGGCGGAAGTTTTCGCCTTATGGTTGAATCAGAAACTTCCACTTTTCAACAACGAATAGTCAAACCTTGCTCCACTATTTCGTTCGTTTCAACTTCCGCATCGTAGTTCAATACGTAACTGCCCAGCTGCTTCGACTATCTTACTTATTCTCGATGCACTTCAATGTTCTACTATTATAATGAGCCTTTCGAGTTTATAGGATTCTACAGGTTATAGTATACTACGTATGATGTTCCCACAGGTATATGAAGCATCAGAAAGTATCTCTCTCTCTCTGTCTTCCAGTCAATATGTCAATTATCTAAGGTCGAAAATGGTTTTAAATAATACATATTTGTTTAAGTTGATGACAAAAATGGACGACAATTCAGCCAGTTCTGTAACAGATGCAACGGCTTGAACGTACGCACAAAAGCCGCCTACCCGACTATGACCTATACGACTATTCAGAACAACGTAAATATTCTAGCAAGTGTTTTGTAAGAGTGCCTTTTTAAATTTAGTGCGCAATTATTTATCATGTCCGTTTCATAGCTTAAGCTCGTTCAAAGGACCATAATGTAGTTATATCCGTAGATGCCTGCGCTAATCTCCTTTGTGTACAGCCTCATAGACAGCTTATTTATCTTTACAGCCGGCACCAGAAAACAGATCATTTGGTACCTTTAACTTTGTTATTTGCGACTCCTCAAATGAGCCATGTAACATACCTTGTGCAATTTAAGGCATGATCCCCCTGAAGTCAGCTTCCCTGTCGTTTGTATTATGGCCATGTCCGTGCTCTTAAATCCCATAAAACACTGATTCAAGATTCGTATGCCTGCTAGTAAACTCCGACAAGATATACTGCGTAAATAATTAACGAGCATTTTTTCAAGCGCATCTTCCTCTATTTTCTAGTTTTCCGTTCAATCACGAAAGTATCGTGTTTACTCTAAAGCCGCCAAAATTATTTCCCTTTTCTTTCTAATACTTTCGTATTCCGGGCGTTCCGTCAAAATTAGAGACATTCAGAGTCTTTACGAATGATTCAAATGTTTATAAGTAACTTACCGGAATCCGTTTGTGTATACGTATGGTTTAAAATTCGTCCTTGCGTCTGCGCCTCTGTACAACGTCTATTAACCTGCCTCCTATTCTCTTATAAATTAATCGAATTTTACACACTCTCATACGCAGAAATGTCTCTATATATATATATATATATATATATAGAGTATCTAAAGGTGCGCTCGCTGTAATAAAGGTTATTACTGCGCATTCCGTATACGTATGTAAGGCGTTCCTACTGATCTGTCTTCAAAAATTCGGCATGAATATCTACTCATTTACTTTAAATATTTTTCACAGGATATAGCCTAGTTGTTTTTTTGCTAACGGATTGAAGTACATGTATCTCCGTTTCCATGTTCTTATAGAATTACGATAAGTTAGTACTAATTAAACAGGGTACAAAATGAAAAAAGTTGAGTAATTACCTAAAAAATAATAATTGAAAGATCCCTAACCATCATAAAACTAGATAAGAAGCGGACAGGTATGAGCGGAAATCAAGAGTATTCGAAATAGGACTATTCTAGCATCAAACAGCAGGTATTATCGTGGAATGGACGAAACCGCCGAATGAGGCTCAGACCTGGCGCGCCCAAGTCTAAGTGAACAAATCAATGCTTCGTTCCTGCTTACATCTCATCTGACCATCAAACACTCACATGATAGGCTTGAGCATGTTCGAAAGAAAAATGGCTGAGCGCTAAGTATATACGTATCCAAGCGTGGTTTACCAATGCACTGGCTAAGGCTACACTAAATAACTGCCTTCAAGGCGCCCGTTCTTTCATTAAGAGTGAATTTGCTTTTCCATAGAGGTTGGTGCATTTCGCAGTGTTGAGCAGACTCGTATGTTCGATCAGCGACCTGCTGCTAACGTAGTTCTCTGTAGCTATAGTGCTAGTAGTCATGATAGAAGCTTATGCGAACTCATTTCTTCTATTCACCTTTGACACCGCCTTGAACTATTTTCATTGCCCGCTCTTTTTCATCCCGAATCAATTCTATACCCACACGCATTGTTGTTCATTCAACTCTTCGCCCACACTTCGGACATATATCATTTGGGATCCCCGTCGAAATTCTTCAACTGGCTGCTATTTTTCTTTGTTCAAAATACCTATTTTTCTACATTATTTGCCATTCCTTTCAATTTCATCTATCCGTTCTATCAATGATCATCCTCTAACAATGTACTTTGCCTATAATGAATATTTTACTTTTTATCTGCGAATTTCGTTCATAAACATTTACCTAATATTAACGTGGGATACGCTTCTTCGTCACCGTATACCCATGAACATTACTATGAGAAAAATATCGAGAAGATCTTGTTTCTATAGATAAATCTTCTTTGATTATATTTTTTCACACTTCGTATTTTTTACTTTTCCTCTTCAAGGTTAGTTTATTTTTAATTTTTAATTAGTTTTTTTTTGTTACATTTAGTAAGCAGTATTTTCGATGTTTGTTTAATTTGTAAAATCCATATTGAATTGAAATCATCGAAATATGTTTCTATTACACTATCAGGTCGATCTTTGCGTATAGCATGATTCATCATTACTTAATACCGCCAAAGAGCCACTGTACTTTTACACGAATGAACCGTTAACCGAATAATAAAAAAATGTACCCAATACGCTGCTACGAAGATAAAATCATAAAAAGAATATCATATTTTCATTTGAAATTTCGAAACTTTGGCGAAAAATGTTTGCTTTTAGTATTTATTGAACAACGAAGACGGAATCAAATAGGATACGAGTTAAAGACGCAAACGAAAGAGTTATAAAACTTCTAGAATGAATTTCAAAAAGCCATTTTGTATACGAGAAGTCAAAAAGCAATGGGGATAATCTTTCAGAGTCTTGGAAGACTTGATCTGGACTGTCAGCCGATCAGTTTCTAAATGTAATTATTGGCACACCGCTTTAGAGGCACTTTCAGTTTCTGAATTTCGCCGCACTAGTTACTACTAATGACTGTAGCTCGTCCGATTTCTGCCTTAATAATGATTTAATGACAGTTCGTTGGCTGCAACTTGGTTCTATTCAGGTGTGAAATTTCTGAGTACTTACTGTTTACCTCATAAACAAAAACTGTCTCTGCCCTTCCACCATTTTGCCCCTTATTACTGTCTGTTCTTTAAAACGAATAACTCAATGTCTGTGTTCGGCAAAGAATCGCTGATAACGATGTTATCAATCGATCATTACATGTTGACAAATAGATATGAATACGGCGTACGGACTGTTTATGAGATCTCTTTAAACTCGAATGATTCAAAAATATATGACAACAGATGGCTAACTTTAGGCGATTACATCCGTAAAAGTACTATTTGATATTCTGTGCTCAGAGACGGTATAGAAAACGCCGTTAAAAAGTCTGAGCTTCATATATGTATAGAGTCACATATGTACGTACGTAACTATTAGCAGCATTCATCCGTCTCATTGATAAAGTACCTTCATTCAAAGCTGTACTATGATCCGTACTCATTGCATAGAGACGCATAAGAAACGCTACTATAATCGAAACAGTAATTCACATTATTTATAAAAACGACGAAATAATTAGCAGAGAGCATATTTATCAAGACACGCGACATATGCGATTGCCAGTAGCTACGTCATTGAGCAAACATGTAACTGCCCGTGTTTTTTTTCTATAATTTTTTATTCTCGTATGTTTAATTTTTGTCTATACCACGTACTGTGATATGTGCATTCGTATCCTTTCCATGTCCATATCCTTTACATCGACGATTTTGCCGTATGGTTAGTATTTGATAAGATGACCAGATATTTACTTAACTGCAACACAGCTAAACGCGGCCAATAATCATATACAGACATTTAACCTTTGAAAATTTTCAGAAGCTCGAGCTACTCAGTCATGTAATCATTCCCCTTTCATCATTATCCTTTTCTATCTTGACTCATTTATCCTAACCATCCCATAACCCAAATGCCCACTACCTTCTCATAGGCGACTTCGAACGAGTCGAGAATCAGCGCAGCTAACCAACGTGCCCAGAAACTGCTCAAGGACTAAATACCCGGGGGCGTTGATACCTTCTGACGATTCACAGCAACAACAAGATGCGCCGGATCACGTCATCTGTACGCCATCCACCATGTCATCATCTCGTATACGACTCAACAGGGAAACAGCGGTTCGAGCAAGCGCCCCAGACCTTAGTTATCGTGAGCAAATAAAAGGAATACGCAATATTACCGAAGGAAACGAAATAATAGAAAGCATCAAAAATTATTACGGCATCAGAAAATAATCGATACAACGTTTGCAGATCAAATGCGGCTTGAGCATTCGAATTCAAGTATACGCACCACTTCCGGATAGTCAAAATAACGATGGCGAACGACATGTACATGGCGTCATGTAAACGTCGACGCGAATGCTAATTATCTATCCCCATTGGCTTTGATAAAAATACGCCGATAAACAATTTTACAACCTGACTTCGAGGCCACTGGTCTTTAACCTTGTCAAACATTAACCGTCGTTACGACTGTTCAGGAGAGCATAAAACTCTGTTAAGTTTTAATACTTGTGAACAGAACAGCAATTAAAGAAGGACTTTTCGAGACGGAATATGGAACCACTTTCTCCTAACAATACTATAAAATCCTGTTAGCCAATTCATAACAGATGAGCCTTCAAATAAAAAATAGCAAACATGTCAGAAGGGGCGCTTTCGACTAGCAGATATAACGAACGTATACAGTGGTCAGAGACACACAAAAGCGCCTTTCAAATTAAACTTGGAAAGCGCCACTAATTACATTAAGAACTTCAACTTCACCGACTACTCATTGCTGTTTATTGTAGTTGGATAAAAATTGCTATGTAGACACAGTTACACACGTGTTCACGCATAAACATACTTACACATACATTTGAACACAGGCGAAATGACCTCAGATCCCTCGGGATAGGAAGTTGTTCTTGAAATTTTTGAACACAACTCTCCATATGTGGACAACTTCATTTTGGTTCATATACAGGTCAAGTGAAATTAGAGTAATCTATAGAAAAAGTCATCTCGATACACTTTTAATCAGCTTCGTCTGTCTTTGCCGATCGCGAAATCAGCACACGCTGATACATTACGATCACTCAAGTTATCGAGACAAAAAGACATGCGATTTAATGTACAACACCTTATTTGTGTAAATGACCCCCGACCTACTAAAATAAGTGTGTCTATCTCTCTCGTCGTATATGACAACCATGAATATATAAAAAAAAAGTGATATATATTTAAAAAAAAAGCTCAATTATGTTAATGACTAGTTCGATGTCGACATCAATAGTGTTTAAAGAGAGACATACATTCAAAGCAATTGGTTACTACGTGAACGCACTGATGTTAGTCTACGCATTCAGTGAAAATACAGATTCAATAATAATCGTGATAATAGTAGTAATGATGATCATAAACAGAAGATAAACAAACATACGATATGCATAAATATATTGATGTACAAGAGCGTATTAAAAGGCTGTAGGTGTTAGTTGATCGTTTACGTGAGGGAACGTACCCACTTCCACTCTACGATTGATTCTTTAACTAACATGAACCACACACCTAGCATCAATCACTCTGTTTTCGCTTATTCTTCCTTTCATAGGAAAACATTTCACACAAAGCCAGACAAATACATTACGGGAATGCATTACGAACCTAATAGTTAATGCAAAAGCCTACATCTATTGGTGTGGTAGTGGCACCTTTTCGTCGGCTATGGCTTCCATTATTTCCTACGATTATGACAGAGGTCAGATGGACATACGAACTTTTCGTAGGACGGGATAGTCTTCTACCGACGGATCGGGAGAAGGTGACTTGCGCAAACGCGTTTTGCGCGATTCTCCCGATTTTCATTTTTACGGATCAATTTTTCGTCAGCAGCCGCAATTCATATATACAAGCAGCCAGCCACCGGCTTAGCTTACCAGCCTAAAAGCCACTTAGCTCTCCGTCAAACAAAAAAGAATAACGCAGAAGAGTCTTCCAGCAGCAGATGCAGGACATTCAACTCCAATCCAATTTTTTGGGGAGGAAAGCAGCTCATTCTTTTGGTGCTGCGCCTACTAACTTAAGTGCTACTTCCACTACTGCTATCTAACCAACTAAGGAACTATATATCTACAAGAAACTACTACAAATCACCACGCGTCGCTTACGCCAAACTTAGGCCAAGGCAAGGTTTAGACAAAAGAACCTACGACTGATCGTCTTCAGTTGTGTCGAATGGTAGGCTACCGGCACAGGCAACGACCCAGAGGAACCAGTGCGGACGTATAGTTGGTTGTATGAACGGAGGGAAAAATATTGTTACCATAGGATACGGGCGGCATTGCCGGAGGACCTACCGCTAGCAGGCTCATTGAATGAAGACATCGTCATAATAATGATAATAACGTTATAACTAATAGTAATAACTGTACTGAAATTAATAGTATTAAGTTATTATTATTTGTCATTTTGGCTATGTGGTTGTTACTATCCTAGTCACTTTTTTCGGGGCAAGAGAGTAATAGATTTTTGTTACTGAGCGGGTATTATCCACTTTATTAGTCATATCTTTTCTCCGCGTTCTTTAATTCTGGCGCCTTCCTTTATCTAGGCTATCGAACAAACTCGCAGCAGCTGTGACATGACAACCATCGTTTGCCAGCTAATAAAGGTTACCAGTTATCATATAATAGCAATAATGATAAAAACAATATATCAATAAACTAGCAGCCGAAGCGCACGACTAGTCAAGCCGACTGACAGCAGTAGCAATAAGCAAATACGCTACTGAATGGACTGGCCGTGGAGAGGGATCAAAGTCGACCATCCGTTAATTCGATGTGGGCATGCAACATACTCATCAATTTTCGATTGATGGCCATTCTGAACGCACATCATACAGCCAGAAAATCAGTCGACCAACGCTTTTTTAAATAACATCTTCGGATCAAATCAATCAATCAAGCTCTTGTACTAATAAACTATCTTCTATGTCATCGCCGTTTTTGTCAGTAGAGTCGCTCCAGAAGGTTCGCTCACGAGTTCTTCCACAGCTATCGTCGCCAGAAGGTAGAATAGAAAGTACTTCGATAGCCTCGGCGAATAACAATAAGTGAGATGTTCTCGTTGTGGGAACCACGTCCTAGATCCATGCAGCCTTCATCTGCTTGAAGCGTAGAACTAAAAATGCCACAGAGCAATAATAATAATAATACTGTACTATTTATACACAGCTAAGTCAACTCGACGACTAGTCTATACCTTCACAACAGGACTTAACAGGACACTTTAGATACAGAATTCAATTGAACTTACACAACAAGCAAGCAAGCCAATAAGCAACAAGAGACAAACGACACTTTTTGTGACCAAGTACGAGTTTCCCATGCCAGCCAAACATCAGCATTAGCAGACGACAGTTCTGCTAACAACAACGACTAACAGTATTTACAATCATTACGTTCAATGACGTAACTAAAGTTACCAACGATGCTGAAATCCTCCTCAGCGTTTTTTCGTTCCTAAAAACAAATTCGAAGAAACAAACGAATATGCTTGAACAGTAAGAGCAGAGACAATAAGATTGTACGACTGGCTTCCACAGAATCTGTGCTCAATAACAAGCAAACAAGTCCATTTGGACATTAACAAACAACTACTGAAATACTATTCGACGTAGGTTGGGACTATAGAGCACTCTCACTACGAAACAACGATAAATATGCAAGCGAAAGAAAACTATAAATATAAAAAAAAGCGACTATGGCGTCTACAAAAAAACCGACAAAACTAAGCAGCAGCTTTAGTGCATGCGTACGTATGTAAGCTGTTTGCTATAACCGGAAGGACGCGTAAGAAAAACATTAAAAATGATGGGACAGCAAAGCATTGATACTTGCGAGGCGAATAGGCATGCGCTATCCATAAATTAATCCATACTGTTAAGAATGAGATGAACAATGGCTAAGCATAGCACGAATCCGTTGATTCGCGACTTGCCAACGTGGACCACTGATCGAATCAATTAATAACGGTCACCGATCGATTCACATTTGTGATATAAATGTAAGTGGGGCCTGAACAGCTAACTGTAAGTACAGATTAGCTAGTAGCTGGCTTGTTACCATGAGATAGCGCGGCGCAAAAACTGTGAGTACCGATATCAATACATGTAGATTTAGTCGGGCCACCTAGCGGGCGGTGGTGAGTTCCAGGAAAGCAGTCATGAAGAGTAACCATCAAATCTGCCATGATATCGACCAGCATTACCATAATGCTTAGCGTTCACAATTGCACTATCGAAGCAAACACAATACACGGATGGTACGTTCCGGTTAAGCAGAAAGACAAAAGGGAAGAGCCAACTTGACCTTTCTCCTACTACTCATTTCTAACTGACAGGCTCATAGATGACCTTTAACTACTGCTTGACATGACTAACTCGAAGAAGCCAAACCGTGTTCAATTTCAACAATTCTCTTCCTAATGCCAATTTAATAAATGGCGAAATACGGAAATCCAAGTACAGCAACGACAGGAGTAATGAAATCATCATACAGTTCTAAAGTAACTATGAAGCGTTCATTTGTTTCGTGTCTACGGGTAAAATGAAATCGGCCCCAACTACACAGGGAACAATTGTGCAGCCAGCTAAAGATCGCTCTGACCCAAATACACGTGAAAGCAACTAACTGAGAATCCTAGACGAGAATCGGACTCTGGAGTTTTCGACCTTACCTTCCTCAAGTATAACAGGTTCAACCATGTGCAATATAAGAAAGGCAAGAACAGCCTAAGTACGGCTCAAGGATATTCATCAAAATTCCACTGCCTACTTATCTATCAATATAATTAAAGCAGATAAGGTTTATCCACTGTGGACGGAACCCGATGCCTGTGCCCAATACAACGACGGACAAAAAGTGCTGACTTGGGCGTCTGCCATGTGATGGCTGACAGTGGCCTTCGTTCAGAATGGCGAACATTGGAATGGATAAAATGACTTCTCCTAACAATGAATACAACCTGAAAGAAGGGTGTGATCGCAAATAAGAACCCAGCATATTAGAAAGCTAAAAAAAGACATCTCATGACGTAATAATTTTTAACGTCGATGAGACATGCCAAATACTCTACAACATCTAGTATAACACTGTTCTCAACATCTAACCAAATCCTCATCTGTCCTAATTTAATTTTCATGAACCGCCAGCTCAGCTGTATGATATCAGACACAATGGTTACTTCACCGGTGAGTAACATTGAATTTACACCTAAAAATTCTGTGTAGGTGATGCTTCTGGGTAGCTTGATGATCCAATTTTCTTGGGCATTACGACACCCGTATATTACTTAAACAGGATAAAATAGGATACTTAAACGGAACGACTTTTAGCATAAACTGAATGCGTTATATGCGCTATGTGCAAACACGTTTTAAACAGATCAACGATTGTACGAATACCGTTTTTAACAACAGCTTGTGACGCAGACTCAAACAATTTTAAACTTTTGTGTTTATGGTAGTTAGTGTACTGCTGCAAAAGGTGAGATATTTAGAAGTTATCAGCGAAAACAGTTCTGGACGCGGTTTCAAACCAAACGTGAATAGGCGTCTCGTCGTCTGCAGTAGCCAAAAAGTGACCTTGATTTCGATGGGTATTTTAGCCATTACCAATGTGCGAAGTAAAAAAAATCCTACCGCTTTACTCCTATCCTATAACCCATGAGTTAGTCCCCGTTACGTAACTAAAGAAAACAAAACAATGGGCTCTTTTGCTGTACAGATACAGGTTTAGACTTGTAATGATTTAAGTCGGCTTGGACTATTGTCTAGGGCAAGCCGCGAACAACGAACACGATGACCACTCTATAACGGGTTTGGATTCTTGACCGGATATATCGAAGTTTGTGTTCCGTGGCAACTGAACATTACATTAAAGGAAGTGCAAAAACAGATTTTCAAAGAAAGACAGGTAATGTACACAAAAAGGTAAAATCCAGAAGTGCAGATATCGCCGCGCGCGGGAACACAAACACTTCATGCTTTACGTATTTGCCTCATGCCGACCTTGCAACAATTCACTATAGATAGAATATATATGTACTTGTACTCAATACCAATTATACAATACTTTAACTAACAACATCCACCATTTAGAGGTATTCTCTATGCCGTCATCAACGTCATCATGGAGGAAAGAAGCGTCTGAAGAGTTTGTCATGTTCCTACGTGTGAGGCAGACACTCCCGATTATGCATCTAGCCATCGTCATGGCGCGTAACGTGGCATTTGATATAGCAGCTTTGCTGCAGACGACGAGGTTTTCACAGTAGCTCTTGGTGCCACAGTCACCAGAAGTGCTCTCAATAAGCTTAAACTAGGCTTTTTACGAAGCCAGCTGAGATCTCAGATGGGAGCAAATATTGTCCAAGCAAATTACGTCATCCATCGACAAGGGATCGATAGTGGCAGGTATTGATGAAATCTGGGAACTTATAGTTACGTACGGGCGTCACAGCCTGCTATCAAAGCGAAGATGTCATGATTTACCATTGTAGTAGAGGACATTTAGGTGCGCCTGCTCTTAATCCAATGATGTTAACGTTTTTTCACATTTATTAAAGAGCACTGGGCGTTGGGCGAAAAGGGATAAAGACATGGAGAGTGTGTAGAGTTTAGCAGGATGATTAGGCTACTCTACACAATGATCGGGTGACAATGCCCCATCCAGTGCGCACACCCAAACGTTGATGAGGCGCTACCAAGAGATTACAACGTAAACACGCATCTCTAGATGATATGTACAGGAGAAAACGGTAAACTTGCGGGAAAAAATCTCCGGTATAAATCATCCGTTTATTTAACGGTCTCATGATACGTTCACGACGAACTCTCAAGCGAGTGCCTCTTTACATTCTGTTCATATTCTCAGTAAATAATATACCACTTCTACCACTACAACTACTATTAATTATAATATTATTATTACTACTAAAAGAATTACTACAAACAGATAGAATTGACGTTGTGATCTGCCGATCACGAGGTACTGTGTTAGTTACTGTAGCATTAAACCGCTATTTAGTATACACGTGTCTACAGTGCTCTGAGAATCGTGCTGCTCAGTTTTTAAGTTCGTGACAAGTAAATCATAGAATTTATGTTAATACCAAACTATCGATGTAATGACAGAGTAAAATAGAGTCCCTCTAGATTATAATTTGTTATCGTTATAAAGTGAAAAAAAAAACGAAACATGAAGATCAGTACGTGTAAAATTCGTCATACTCTGTTCCATATGTATATTGTAAATGCGAGCTATGGCTAGATTTCGGCGTTTTCCATCTCCGAAAGTTAATAAAATTATAAATAAATATGTAGAAAGAACAAAGGTTAAAATCGAATGAACACGATTATTATAATTAATATATGACATAACATATATATATAAAGATGGCAGTGATGGTAATTACAGCGAAACTACACTGACACAATTACATAATTGATTACGTTAGTATCGTTATTAATACTGTTAAGTAAGAGAACATATTACAATAAGGCTAATAACAATATTCTCACAAAGAACAACGATAAGAACATGCCTTTAGTCTAGTTGTTACGATAATACTCTAATAACTAAGGCATCCACAGAATAGTCATTTGATCATGTGAAGAAAAAACGTGAACGAGGAGTGGGAAGTCATCTGCGAGCAATTTTCATCACTCCGAATTGTTTATCGTTGACACACAGTTTGTAGATAATAATATTAATGATAATTTATGGGACTCCTAATTTAAATGCACGTTGAAAACAACAGAAAAGGCAAATAGACCACTGTATTCCCGTTATGAAAACAACAGAAAGTTTGACAACAGATTATAATAACAACCGCACCACTAATAACAACAATAAGAAACGTAATAATAATTATATTCATGGTAAACAATGAACTGTGGAAGAAAAGCAGGAAAAATCAACATTATATATATATATGTTGATTTATATATATATATA